TGCCCCTGAACCAGGGTTTCCAACACGCTCGTCAACTGCTGAAGTCTAGAGGACTCTTCGGACTGCCTCGATTCCGAGTGCCCCCAGGATTCTGGCGACTCTTCCACGGGGGCTGCAGACACCGCCTCTGGGTGTCTCAAGGATGCCAGGGTCTCCTCACCACGTGGTTCCCCTTCATCCACTTCCGGCTGTGCTCCCTCTGCCGGTCCAGGGCTTGCGTCTGCCGGGTTCGGCTCCAAGGGTTCCGGTTCGCCATAAGGCGGCTCGAGGACTTCATCCTCAACCATCCTCAATTGCTCTCCCGTGCCCCGGGCCTCCACATCCAGCTCAGCCTGGTCCAGCTGCAATCCTGGAGCTACCGGCTCTGCAGTAGGATCCGGCCTGTGCTCTTCAGATCCATCACCTGAGGCCTCCATCGCGCCGGAGTGGGCAGCGCCTGAAGCTCTTCGCTTCCTCAGGAGCGTCTTGGGCTCATAACCCCTTCGCGGGGAGCCTCAAACAGGATCCTATGGCAGCGCACACGCGAGCACTACTTTTCACAGCAAAGCAAAACCTCCAAACGTCTGAATATGTGGAAGCCGTGCAGCAAAGCTGAACCTAGATACTACACAAGATCATAGCCTTTAGGCTGTGATTCTGGTTCATGCTACATGGCTGCGGGACGGCATATTGACAACACACTCTCTCGGCAATTAGAATAGGGTTTTGGGGTCTGTTGTACTATGGTTGTGAGGAGGAATCCCCAGCGATAGTATAGGTAATTATTTTGGCCCCCCCCCCCATATTAGCAGCTTTTAGAATGTAGCGTTCTGGGCCCTGGGGCTCACGAGCTTCGGCTCTGCCAGAAAGGAAAGAGAGGTGGGTTTCTCCCTGTCAAAAAGATTCGGCCTAAGCACACAAAAGCAAGAAGGATCCATTTGTTGGGCTCTGTTCTAAATCCATTTGGGAACCCAAGCCACAAAAGTAAACCGTATCCCTAAACGATGAAACCCGAAACCCCACATGAAGCCCGTCAACCCGTGCACAACCACAACAAGCAAAAAAAACCTAAATCCTAAACCCTAAACCTTGACCAAGGAGCTGTGACCCCAACACTGCCCGGAGCTGCCACCAATCGCAACCTTCGTTTGCCAGATTCGGTTTAGGGTTAAGGGTTCAGGGTTTAGGGTTTAAGGCCTAGGTTTGGGTACACCCACCTTGCAAGCACCCTATTTGGGCTGCTCACACAGGAGGGTGTCCTGCGTGTCTGAAGCTGGCTCTGCGGCTTGCCTTGCAAGTTCTGAAAACGCAACATGTCAAAGGCCCAACCAATTGTGTCGGTGTGAGGATGGTTTTGGCTCCCTCAACCCGAAGCTCAAAGCCTTAAAGCCCCCAAACCTCAACTCGCCACGGTGCAAATGCCAAGAGATTCCCGTAAATCTTGCTGACCTGGGTGAAGTCCACGCCAGTGCACTCGCCCCCGTAGGCCGGGGAACCCCAGCAGAGTCCTCCAAGCCGGCACTTTTCGGAAAGACCATGGCCCCAACCTCAAACCTTAAAGACTAAAACCCTGAACCCGAAACCCCAAAAACCCTGAACCGACAGGTCCACGAGGCCCTTCACACTTAAGTCAACCCTAAACCCTAAACCCTAAACCCAAGGCTAACACCCAAGACCCTCAGGCCTGGAGCTGCAAAGCCCTTTAAGCCTTCGGGTTTAGGGTTTAGGTTTTAGGGTTTGGGGTTTAAAGTTTAGGGTTTGGAATTTAGGGTTTAGGAGTTTAGGGTTTAGGGTTTAGGTTTAGGGTTGCTGTTGTAGCAGGGTGCCCAGTTTCCTACCATGTCGGCGTCTTCTCGAACCGCCAGAGCTTTAGGGTAATCTCGGCCCTAAACCCTAAGCCCTAAACCGCCGAAGCCCGGAACCACTGAAGCCCCAAAAGGCTTCACGAAGCCCAATCCCAAAGCCCTACAGTTTTAGGGCTTAGGGGGTTGGGGCAAAAGGCTCTTAGCAACCCGCTTACAAGCCCGATCGAGATCAATAGCCGTGGTGATCTGATGGTTGGATCTTTCTGAAAATACTTTATGGAATGCTACACCCTAAAGCCTCCAAAAACCCTACAACCCGAAAGGAAGCCTAAAGAAACCTGAAGGGAGCCACTTTCACAGGAATGGGTGCAGGGACGAACCCTTGCAGGAACCCCAAACCGCCCAACCTTCTGTGGCCGGCCTCGTCCATTCACAGCATCCAGTGCCGCGAAGCTGTAGTCCTGATTTGCCCAAGGACTGCTGGGTGTAGGGTTTAATTCTCACAAAGATGCAGAAGCTTGGTGACAGAGACCGGAAACCAGGATCCTTTTCGATAAGGAACCATGGTTTAGGGTTTAGCGTTTAGAGTTTGGGGTTTAGGGTTTAGGGCTGGAACCTTGTATAAGGTACTGTAGGGCCTGGTTAATTAGCAATATAGTCTCCCCTCAGTGTCCCCATACAATTATCGCCTAATGTTCGCATGTGCTGGGCTCTCGGCAACGAGTCCATCAGCGCCGACTACTTTCCCATTTTGAGCTACTGGTGGTTTAATTTGATCTCTTTGCTGGTTTGTGTTTACTACCTGCTTCCGCACGGCAAGGTGCTGACAGACGGGGAGTATTTTGCGATACAGGCTGGTGTTAGCCGTCCACGTAATAGGATTGGAATCGTCGGATTGCTGGAGTTCTTGCCGGTTGCGCGTACTGGATGTCCTCGTGCATGGGGGCTTGAAACGAGATGGTCAATTCGGCGATGTGCTTCCGGTAACAAAGAGCTCTGCCCAGTGAACTCTCGGTCGTCCATTGCCATTTGGTGGAACAACATGTCTATACGCATGAGAGGTCAGAACGTATGTACTGTTGTGCTCCAATGTGTCTGTGTCTCTGCAATTGTGACCTAAAAGCTGCAGGTGCTGTGGAGAGTAACTTGAAAGGGGTAATTACCCCTTTGAGCGATGCACTAAAGAGACAAGGCCCGAGGTGCACATTGGAGCAGGATTCAGCGGAGGGGTTCAGAACCCTAGGATAGAAGGAAGACCTTAACATTAAAACTTCATATGCCGAACCCGAAGTCTATCCTAGCTATTAAGGCTCCTTGATGCAACCATATATGAAAAGCCTCGTCATGGAGCCCTTCTAGAGCTCTTAGTAGCCAGAAACCCGGCAACATCCGGGAGAGCCGAGCATCGGTGGCTGCCACGTCCGTGATCCCGGAGAGGTCCAGGCCGGAGCATGCGCCTCACAAAGAGATGAAAGGACGGCTCCGATCAAAGGATCCTACAAAGGGGTTGCTAGAAGGGTGCCTATGAAGGGTTTAGGGTTTGGGGAACAACTCATCTGAAAAGGATCCTACTATAGAGGGTTCCTTTGAGCGTTCCCTGGAGGGCTCTTAGGGCTTAGGGATGTACTGGCTTACGGGCTTTACATGGATTCCATACGAGTTCGATAAAGTTTCGAAATTGGTTCTACAGGGAGTTCTGCAGAACTTCTGCAAAGGTTCTACAAGGGTTGTTTAAGGATAGTTTCTGATGAGTTTTGCCGGCTGTAAGATTGTGTTGCAGGTGAGGGTCTGAAGTTTTGTTGGTTGGGGTTTGCAGGGTTTTGGAAGAATCTACGTTACACTCGTAGGGTTTAGGGTTTAGGGTTTAGGGCTCTATGTGCCCAGCGGTCAACCGTCAAGGGGAGAAGATGAGGTTAGTGCCTGCGAAGAACAGTACTCAGTAACAGTGCGAAAACAAACATAATCCGCAGTAGCACTGGCAGCATGAGTAGTCCCAAAGCTGCTAGAAGCAGGTAATGTCATCATCGTTCACTGCCGCAAGAAGAATACGGCGGCAGCACCAACAGCATTGATTGGTGATAGTATGTACTAGTACTCTTATCAAACGAGTGGAACGTTGCAGTAAAAGGCAATGGGAGCTATCAACGATGATAATGATAACCATAGCGAGAGAGTAACAGCAGCAATGATGATAGTGATCACGCTGGCAGTACCAAGGTTGATAATCGTGTCGACCCCTCAACATAAACCCCAGCTCTTTAAGGGTTCTAAAAAAAATCCGGACCCCGATGAAAACACCTCAAAAAGACTGGGCCCACGTGAACCATGCTTCCCCGCGCCTCCATTGTCGTCTGATCCCCAGCACTCGCCGCCCGCGCTGCTGAGCGCAAGGAAGGCGAAGGCATTGGCTTTCACCTGAAACCATCCCAACTACAGTACCTGCAACCTACTTAGGCTTTAAGGTTTCGGGCTCAGGTTAAGAATCTGTCATGGTGAATGCACTTCCAGGAAGAGATGTACACACACAGACACGCAGACACACACACACACACATATATATATATATACATACACACACACACACGCACGCGCGCACACACACACACACGCAAACCTTATGCCTTCGGTACTGAGCTGCTTGAAACATGACCTAAATATGCATGCATCACGCAAGTTGAAACCAAAAGCCTTAAACCATATTTGTTGCATCCGAAGAACTGCACCCCTTTGGCAATGACGATTTAGGGCTTCGCGTTTAGGATACAGTGATATAGCAATTCGGGTTTAGGGGTGTGGGATTTCGGGCTTAGGGTTTGGTGATTATGGTTTAGCGATTCCGCAATAGGGCTTCGAGTTTCGGGTGTAGCGCATAGGGCTTGAGGCTCCATGACTAGCTTGTAGCATCCAGCCACCTGTCAATGCCTACCGCGCATGTAGACCCTAAACCCGAACTTCCAAAAATGAACCCTAGACCAAGTCCTGAAGCCTCCCCCCTTCCCCGCCATACCCGTCGCACCTGCTGCACATTGGAGAAGTCAACCGAGCTGCAGTTACCACCGAAGCCGCTATCACCCCAACAGGCTCCCTTGCCTGTCGAGGTGTTACTGTAGGGTCTGGGCTGCATCTAGGAGGTTTGAACATGAAAGGTGTTTCCAGGTTTTGTGGTTTGGGGCCAAGGTCTTGGGTTTGGCATTGAGGGCTTTCCTGCCTGTCACGGTGTTCACCAAGGTAAAGGCATAGTCGTTCGATGTCACCTGGCGGCCGAACGTCTTTAACAACTCCTCAGCATTTCGAAGAGAGCCTGTCTGCTAAATGCTAGCTTGATTCCCGAAGCTTTCCTAACTTCTTCACCTCGATGTTGCTGGCAGCGGCCACGCTGAAGACCAAGCTCAAAAGCCACGACATGCAGCCCACAGCTCTGCAGCTCTACCCCCCCGAACTCTTCAAGCACCGGAGACCCTTGGATCGAGCGGTGAGCAGTTCTCTGACTGCTCAAGGCTTGAGCGTACAAACTGCGGACAGGGAAAGGAGGGCCTTTTTCAGGTGCCGTAAAATGGAGGGGCCTGAAGGATTGGCCCATAAGACAATACTCTAGGGTTTAGGGGTTTAGGGGTTTAGGGTTTATTCCGACCCCTCAGTTGCTATGGGGTTAATGAGGGTTCAGCAAGCCCTAAACCTCAGAGGCTAATGCTCTCTACAGGGGCTTACTTCGGGGTTCTAGTAGAGTTTGAAGGTTTTGGATTCCAATCAAACTGGGCTTTGCTCTTGGGACTGTGTATACACCCAAAAAACCCAGCAGATAAGGCATGTACCTTACCGTAACAGAAAAGGGCGTCTTGTTATGAACTCAAGAAGCTATACCTTAGCTAGAACGACCTTCTTACGATGAACCAAGGAAAATTTCTTAATCAAGTCTTATCGGGCTCCCGGCTGCGATCATTGAAGGACGTTTGACTGCACTAACTTTTTAGGACGCTCATGGACCCAAAATTTCTGCAGAGTTCGGGATTTATTTGGCTGGTTCTTCGTAGGGAATGGGAGAATGGGTTATTGGGACTACAATTGGGGGACCTTAAGGGACTACCATTCCCCCACTCCCTGCTAAGAACCAGGGATTCATGTTCGGCGGCGTTAAAGTTCGATTGCTCAAGGTCCTCACAATTGACAGACCCAGATAGGATACCCCTGTTGGACCCTGAAAAGAAGCTCTGCGACCTGAAACAAGGACCCCACTAGAGTATGTCATGCTATGCTGTAGTTCTACAATTCTAGAAAGCAGACCTCCAACTTAGCAAAGCCCCCTTCGAAATTTCAGTGACCCGTGCTGGAGTCCAGGAGCCTAAACCCACCCAAACACGAACCCCAACCCCCAGAACCTAAAGCCTATATCCTCAACCCTAAACCCTGAACCCCCCTAAAGGCTATACCCTACACCCTAAACCCGTACTTGTGAATTCTAAACACGGCAGTTTAGGGCCTAGCCCAGGCGCTTTTGTAGCTCCATTCGGGTGCCAGCAGACACTATCCAAGCTACATGTGCTCTGCAGTCGCACCTCACCTCGCCGGCTTATCCATATCGTGATTATCCGGCCTAGAGTGTCCTAAACCCTAAAGTGGGACTCTAAGAGCTGCCCCGAAGCCGCACTCAACAGTTCTAAAGTGCTATCATCTCCCAAGACCTCAGGCAATTCTCCTATTATATTATGTAGTGATAGGAGAAGGCTTAAACAAATAATGCAACACTTGGAATTGACAGTGAAAGACAACAGTTGCGACATACATGCTGCTATAGTTGCCATAGTTCACGAGCTGTGGCTCTGTGTGACTCTGTGTGTGTATGTTTGCACGCAACACAGAAGCAACGTACAGTGTGCATGTCTGAGTATATACATAAACTCATAAACACCTATGGACATACTATCTCTGTGACAGGTGTACCTGGGAGGTGTGCGAAACTACATGCGCAAACTGAACACGCATGCACGTAAACATGATGTAGACATTAGACATATGACCGTACATATGACACATATGTGTATATATGTGCACACACACACACACGGGTACATACATACAAAGCAGACAGGTGGCTGGACAGACAGACAGACAGACAGACAGACGGACGGACGGACAGACGGACGGACAGACTGACGGACGGACAGACTGACTTTCAGGTGTTCGTTTTGCTTCGGCTTTAGGGCTTTGGCTTTCAGGAACCCTGCAAACTTAAGGCTTCCTACACCAAAAGGACGAACATACTGCCGACAACTGAAACCCAGAATCTGAATTCCGAAGTCCCAGGACCGAAACACCAGTGCTCACCGAGGAATTCATTGCATGTGCAGCAATTGTCTCACGCACGCGCACACATGCGTTCATTCTCTCCTTCACTCAGACTTTCACCCCGGCTGAAAACATCAGGGCACACTTTCAGAGAGTGAGTAAGTCGGAAGTCTTGATTTCGGCGGTTGCCCATGGTACTGGCAAGCGATTGACATACAAAAATGCAACAATGCTGCAGACGGGCCGACCCCGACCTCCCGCAAATGGCGCGGTGTTCGAAGAGGAAGCTCATTAGCTCGACCAAGGCTCCCAAGTGCCAGCTTCCCGGCGCGCTTGGCCGATTGTGCGAGGCCCTGCAGCAGGAGCGGAACCTTCCTGGGATGGCTCGGCTGTTCTACTTTAATGGAAGAAGGTCCGCCTGCAAAATTCCTTGCAGCACACAAAACAAACTGCAGACAATCAGCGGAGAACCGAGCATATCCAAAGCAACCTGCCCTAGAGGTGGCACTGGAGATAAGTTTGCACAACCCTGCCAGAAAACACTGACTTATCGGCGCATGCATCATACTTGGTCACTTGGTTCACGCATGAGATTGCAGCTGGGATGCTTGGAAGGACAGCTGCCGGAGTTGGCACTGTGAAGCTGCCTCCACCAGTGCCAATTCAAAGGCTGTCACGTAGAGACCCCGGTTGGCACAAAAGTCTGTCAGCCTAAGCAAAACCACAACAACCAACTCAAAAGCTCCAGTGGAGCGGTTTTCACCCTACTTGGTACTTGCACTTGCACCTAACAAGAAAAAACACAAAATTGCTGGCAAGCCTCGCTTCTGCTTCTCCGAGTTCCAGGAGCACTTGCTGCGCCAAGAATGCCTGGATGTACGCTCCGGTGACTCCGGCGCGCACGATGGCGTCAACGAGCTGCAAGTCGTGCTGTCGATCAGCGGCTTCCGCCTCAATGGATTAGGGACAACAGCATACGACTTGCACTGAATCATGTGGAGATTAAAACTAGATTTGCTTCTTCGAGATGTTGAGTTTGACCGAACCCGAAACAGCATCTCAATCCCGCGCAGCAGTCATAAAATGCTTGCAACTTCCCTGCCGAACACATGCCGGAGCACCCGGGCATGCCAAAGGGCACGCCGAACCGACGACATGGACCTGGAACTTTGTTTGCTCTGACGCATCTCGCTCTGGTATTGCTATGTGATCTATGGGCAAGTGCAGCGTGCGCACTCCCAAGTCGATCACTCCTCTGTTGCGCCACTGCCGGGGCTGTTGGCTGCGGACCTGGCCAGGGCGCTCCGGCAGGAAAGGAGCAGGCGCAACGAATGGCACGCACAGCGCGCGAATTGTTAAGTCAATCACTCTGTTGCCTGGCCACGGCGATCTGGCAGGCAAGGAACAGATGCAACGCGTTGAGGAGAGCAGCAGAAACAAATTACCGTTGCCCGTCGCAAGTAAGCTGTTTACCGATACTGGACTTACATCACTGACACACTTTTCGGTGCGAGTATGGGAAATAGGATATGAGCGAACCGTGAGGGTGTGCAAAACACAACGAGTGGCAAGCGCAGCATGCACTTGCTCAGTCAATCACCCTGGTGTTGTGCCACTGCCAGTGGTGTTGGCTGTGGACCTGGCCAGGGCGATCCGGCAGGCAAGAATAGCGGCCGCATCTAGCTTATGCATCCAGATTTCTGAGAAAAGCGGCTGTTCGCGTCGGCCAGTAACGAGCCTGATAAACGTATGACTGTGCAGTACTGTGTGGCACGCTGTGGAAGTCTTCAGCTTGTACAGAATTCCCCACAACCACAGCAGCACTGCTAGCAGAAGCAGGACAACGATGCACAAGGCGGACACGACCGTGTCATCCTTGGGCAAGCGTGTTGCTCAGACTGCGAAACAAGAAACCGCCTGGTTAGCAGAGTCTAAGCAGGTAACACAAGCAGAACAGGCGCTGGCAATGGGCGATCATACGATCAGAATTCACCCAAGAATCGGACCCTGGAGTTGTTTCTTTAAGAGAAGCTTACGCAGGTTTGACACTCCAGAACCAATGCTAGTGTTTGTTCCCGACGTGGTTCCACATGAAGCCCCCACTGGAACAGGGCCAATACCTGCCAAAATGAAGGTAGGTCTTTGGTAGGTCGGGGGTGCCATGTATTTGTACTATGCACATATGTACATATCAGCACCAGGGGTGTTCGACCCGGACTTGGCCAGGAGTCTAAACAAGGAATTGTTCATTTCTGCATTCCCTACAGTTACTGGTTGTGTGCCAGGATCGCGCTATTGCACAGCTACCACATACCTGTTGGTGTTGGCCGGTCTGGCACCCCACACACCGAGTTGGCGTGAGTAACCAGGGCGAGGGGCACATATGAGGTGAATATCAGGATGGGGGGTTGCTCTCATGCCTGCGAAGGGTGCAGAGACCTGCACAATATGTGTCTGCCTGACCGTTTCCTGAAATTGCTCGGACTTCGGTGAAGGTATTCCAATGTACTGTGAACCCTGCTCTTGAACTACTTTAGGTGCAGTGGAGTGCCTCGCATAGATGTGTTAATTGGCTTGGTGCTTTGGGCAGGCTTGGTGAGCTAATTGGGCCAAGCACCTCCGCATGGTGAATATGGCATCCGTCCGCCACATCTCCTGGAGCATGATTGCTGTATGCTGGTTGCACAACAAAAGTCTGCGTGCGCTTACTGGACTGACTCCTTGCGGTGGCTGGATGAAATTCGACGAGTTGTCCTTGATCACGTGGTTGCCCACCTGCATGTTTCGTGCACAACACAAGGTGTCAAAGGCAACTTGCTGCGCTGGTCCTCTAGCGGCAAGCTGCGGAAGATCCCATAAACGTCGTCTCTGGAAAACGCCTAGTCGACTGCAGTTCTGCAAGTGAGTGGGTAGGTTTTAATGCTTTTCTGTCAGGAAACATGTTGAATGGGCAGCCACAAGGTTAAGCCGACTGTTGCAATACCATGAATAGTTCCCTAACATTCTGTGCTCTTCTATTCTTCTATCTTGCTAGGGATGGCCTTTGTGCTGCCCCTCCGTACTGCAGGATATCCATGTGATTGTCGCCCTATGGGCTCAGCGTTGGCGCCGCAGCCCGCCAT